CTAAGTGTTCATTTTTATGATTATTCATAACATTCTTCAAAATAATAATAAATATTTCGTTACTATAACATCTCATTTTATTATTATTATTTCTACTGTTACTGATTTGTTCTGAGAACAATAAAAAATATTTAATTATTACTAATTTTATACCAATAATGATATTGCCAATTTATTTTATATTGATATATAAAACTAAATATAAGCTATTAGACTTACACCTTAAAATTTTGATAGATCACTTATCCAAAACAAAAATTTTATTTTGGAAAATTTTTTACGAATAATTATCGACAGGTGGTTATTTGTAGAAATGAAAAAATCAAATAATTTACAAGAAAATTTTGTTCGCTAATAATAAATGCAAATATAATGACTATACCATGGATCTTCATGCAAAATAAACAATGTTTGCATGACAAATATCGCTATACGTCAAATGAAAATGTTAATTCTCGATTATCCGGACCTCCAATGTTAGAATTTTTCATTATACGTTTCATACATAATCGACTCAATCTAAAGCAGCTCACGTTTAAAATGATTTACCGCGAATAAATTATCAAAAATTTAGTTTGGCTTTTTGTCCTATTATCCGAACATTTAACCTGCTTAGTCCGGATTAACGAGGCTCCACTGTGTAATCACGATTATATCTGTTTTTTCACATATCGTTAAAATTTAAGTAAAATTTTTGTTAAATTAAACATTTTGATAAATTAAAAATACATGTAATAATGAAGCATATAACACATTGTTCATATTGCAATATTGTTTTCTTTAGTACATACGACAAATACAAAACTAAAATAAAAATTAAAAATTAAGAAATAATAAAATAACGAAATTAATATTTTTGTTTGCACGATACAAATTATCCTATGTTAAGAAGGTATAATAAACCCAAGAATATAGTATATCTGTGTAATGTGTTTCTTAACTTTTGTCGGTTATGTAAAAATATATTTAGCAATTCAGAAGATCATGTACAGCTGCATGAACCATGCTTATATTTTCTTATAACTTTCGTATACGTATCTAAATACCTATGCAATACTAATTTTCATTTCAGACTAACGCTCGAATTATTTGTTCGCCAACCCTATTCACAATTTTAACCAAATATTTGCCGCCAGGCACGGGTAGCTTAATCGACGAAAGGAGGAAACGAGAGAGATGTCAAACGACACAAAAATACACGTGACATTTTCGTGACCAGCTACGTATCATCGCACCACCATATTTAAAATCGCAACACACAGCCGCCACCTTATCGCTATCATTTTTCTTCGACGCGGCAGCGTCGAGTTTCGCGAACAGATAGTTTGGTCGAGAGGTCACGCTACGCGCGATCGAAAAATCGACTGTAGTGTTCTCTATTTTTTGTCCAAGCGAGAGCCAAAGTGTCCGATTGTCGGTGCGCGAAAATGTCGAGAAACGGAATGGTACCGAAAACGGACGTCGCGTTTCCCCGAGACGGCTGCTCCTCGAATTGAAACCGAAACGACCGAGGAAGCTCCGCCGCGGACGATCGCAATCGGCGTTTTCCGAAGAACAGAATTCCTCGGAGCCGGCTCGAGAAGCCGACGAAACACGCGTTGGAATCGCGTCGAAGTCGAAGGCGGCCGCGCGGAGAGACGACGACTTCGCCCGCCCGTAGCAAAGTCTCTTCTCTCTCCCAGTTTCGCGACCGCTCCAAAATGGAGCCCGCTTACCTGCGGCTCGCGGCACCCTGTCGATCGGCGAACATTTACCTGGACACGTGGACCGTCGTGCGGGCTGGCGAAGGGCTCGAGAACGGTGCAATCGGTCGTCGGCAGCGGGAGGTTCGGTTGTCAGAAAAGTTGGCGTGTCGCAGGAGAACTGGCAGCGGACTGCAAGCCAGGGTTGCGAAGTGGATCTCATCGACGTGACCTATGACACGCCGATAGACGCCGGGCCGCCATGATGGCTCGCGGACTAAGATTTCCGCAACGGCGGTCTCTCCTGGCGTCGATAAAACTGTCTACAAAAATTCGCCGGTGCTAAATGCTTGACAGTGATGGGTGGAACATCGTTAACCTTCGGACTGCGGTTACCGTGCGGTGACTCGGTCGTTTTGACCCACTGTACTTCTAACCAGTTTACTGTTTTCGACGAGTATACACGTCATAAACGAATGGCAATATTTTGTGTCGTGACGAGTATACTCGTCATAAAGTAATTGCAACATTTTTGCGTGATGACGAGTATACGCGTTGTGAAGAAATGGTAATGTTAGTGTTGTGACGAGTATTCTCGTCATAAAGAAACAGCAACATTTTGTGTTATGACGAGTATACTCGTCATAAGGAAATGGCAACATTTTGTGTTATGACGGGTATACTCGTCATAAAGAAGAGACAGCTAATTGGGTAAACACGAATATACTTGTCATGAAGAAATGGCAACATTTTGTGTTATGACGAGTATATACGTCATAAAAAAATGACAACATTTTGAGCTATGACGAATATACTAGTCATGGAGAAATAGCAATATTTTGTGTTGTGACGAATATACTCGTCATGATGAAATGGCAACATTTTATGTTACGACGAGTATACTCGTCGTGCGTAAAGAATTGCTGATTAAATTCCAATTGTAGTAAAAATTAAAATATATGTATTCGTAAATTTCAAGGTTTTTTTGAATATTTGGAGGTCAAGGAATAAAGTAAAGAAATTAAAAAATGTGAACAATTATTATGAAAAATGCCGTATATAGTGTCCGGATTTGGTAATATACTCATCGTCGCTTCCTTTTTTTTGACACATTGTAGGTTCACATTTTATTTGTAATACTACAAAAATTCTGCCGCAATTTGTGCACATTGTAAGTGCAAAGTGACACTTTTGTTATCTGTCGAGCAGAATGTGTTGGCGACGCGATCGTTTTGTAACACTGCTATTTTACGAGCAATAAATATACACCCGGTGTAATCAGCATACGTTATAACGTAAATTTTCCTCTTATCAGGAGACAGGAGAAAGGTCAAAGGAGTAGCTCCATTCCAGATACATCTTGTTTCTTGTGGATTTGTTCAGACGCGTGAACAATCCAAGGAGTTCGAAAGTGTGCAACTGTTTTTATTAACGATGCAATTTATTTCCCACCGATCTTGAATTCGACTTTGTCCAGGTGCGGATTTCCACCACGGATTTCCACGATCGACTGTCGCTGACTTTCTCCGATAGTATCGCGACTGTTCACTTCCGGTTGTCGTGTTTCATGCGCAAAGCCGATCCTGAACGCGAATCGTATGTATAATAATTAAATACATGTTATTAAAGGTAATTGTTTGTAAATAAAAACAAAAACAAATGGTTACCGATTACATAAAAAAATGACGCCTTTAGGATGTTTTTTAAGAATTGTTTTTAAAACAGATATTTTTAAATCAGTATAATGAAAATGATTTTAGTACGTTTATTAAAAAAAACCCACGAGAGAAACAACAAATAACCATTTATACACATTGTACAAATAAGTAACATATTCAGAATGTCATTTCTCTGTTATATAAACATTTTTACGTTCATATTTCATATATTCCATCCTAACTTTTGTTTAATAAATTTTTATTCGTATAGTTTACAAATCCTGTCCTTTATTACATGTTATAAAATCGAACTTATTTTAAACTTGATTAAGATTTACTTTTTTAAGATTTAAACTTCAATATTTATATAAACATTGACTATTCTTAAATTTTTAAGAACGTTTGTTTCCATATTTGCTAAATTTCTATTTCCAGCAACATTTCTTCAATTGCTCTAATCGAACACATATAATGTAACAACGTTGTTCAAAACGTTGTTCAACACCTCTTCAAAACTTTCGATCTCGATTAGTACTAGAGAACCTACTAGGAACAATTTATTTACTCGTCACGTTCCTCACGGTGGATAGCAATTAATAAAGATCAACTTTCTCCAAATTCAAGTAGCAAAGTACAAACGCGTACGTTCCTTTCAATTAGACTCGACAGAAAGAAGATGACCTTGTCATGTCACATTGCAATCAACTCAAACCAAATCCTCATCTCCGCAATTTATCATTTTTAATCATGCACCATAAGTTAGCGATCCTCGCAAAGAGCGCAGCACGATACTTATATACAGGGTGTCGCAACAAATTCTCAAAATCGGAAAATGAGGAATTCCTGAGATCATTTGAAGTAACTTTTTCCTTAGCAAAAATGCAATCCGCGGCTTCGTTTGCGAGTTATTAGCGAAACACACCGACCAATGAGAGGCGAGCGCGGCTGACGCGTGACAGCCGAGCCAACGAGCGGGCGGAGCCCATTTCCGCTGATTTGCCAGAGCCGCGCTCGCCTCTCATTGGCCAGTGTTTTTCGTTAATAACTCGTAAACGAAGCCACGGATTACATTTTCGCTAAGCAAAAAGTTACTTCAAATGACCTTAGGAACCCCTCATTTCCCCGAAATGACATAATTTTGGAAAACCCTGTGTAATTCTACACATAGTAATATATCAGTGATGCAGTATCTGTATCGCTTACTAACGGAGCAGAGAGGGTACAAAGGTATGGTCATAATCGCCGGCGTTTCTTTCGATCGTCACTAAAACTCGAAATCAAAATGCAGAGTAACTGGCACGAAGCTTCCATTGTCCATGGTTTTATTGCTCGATACCATTTTGATGGTGATTCCGCATTTCTATTGATTTCGGTATGTATCTTTCTCCAACCAGCGTCTTTGCAATCAATGGCTGGGAAAAAAGAAACACAAATAATTAGTTAGTGACATACAAGAATACCGTCGAACCATCATCTTCTTATAATTAACGCAAAATGTCACCGCTTTACACTGGGACGACATCTGCTATAATTAATATGAAAATAATTTTACAAATAATAGTTATATGCTGAGGCGATAACTGTTACAAGTTATATAAAAAAAATGTCATTTCATAAGAACGATTGTTTGATGCAAATATTTTCAGTTATAAATAATATTGGATCGGTCCATAGGTTCGTGCGGTTTAATTTCGATTTAAATTTTCCACATAATAATTTCGTGTATGATTCGAAAGCTTTGATTTTCTTCTGTTGTACGATCGTTTACTTGTTCGTTTCATGCGAGTAATAAAGTGGTGAATTTTTTGAAAACTATAAAGTGTCAAGATAACAACAACAAACATCTGCGACATATTTTGCCGTAAGATTAAATCGTAAAATGTCTAAATTCATGTTAATTTGACACTACATAGTTCTCAAAAAATTAATCACTTTACTGCGAATTTAAAAACTACTTATTTAACAACTATATATTTTCAAGTTAACTCAACTTAACATTTAAACATTTACGATTCAATCGCATTGCAAAATATGTCGGAGATGTTCATTCATGTTAACTTGGCACTCCATAGTTTTTAAAAAATTGATCACATTAGATCAACCACAATCACATAATAGGAGATACTAAACAATCGCATAATTGGGCAATTAATATGCGGAAAATGTAAAGCGAAATTAAAACCGCACGAACTTATGGACCGATCCAATAGTTATACAGGTTCCTGAGGTTATTTGAAGCAACTTTTTCCTTAGCGAAAATACAATCCGCGGCTTCGTTTGCAAGCTATTAGCAAAAAACACTGACCAATGAGAGGCGAGATCAGCTGACACGAGCCGGCGAGGTCAGCTGTCGCGAAGCCCAGTTCCGCTCATTGGCTCGGCCGTCTCGCGCCAGCTGATCTGGCCTCTCATTGGTCAGTGTTTTTCGTTAATAACTCGTAAACGAAGCTGCGAATTGCATTTTCGCTCAGGAAAAAGTTGCTCCAAATAATCTGAGGAACCCTCATTTTCAGACTGCGAAAAATTTTTTTAGACACCCTGTATGCAATATGTATTCTGACTCGTAAGTCAGAGCCATTTGATTGCTCGGAGTGAATTTAACAAACAAACAAACTGACTAACTAGCTCTAGGTTAGTTCTTCATCATAAATCTTAACACTCCTACCATCAGCTCAATACCCTAAAAAACTCCATTGAATGAAACTAATCCGTTTAACGAAACAAAGTTTACATACCAGAAGAATTTTTAACTCTCCCGCCATCCGTTTCACACTTTGTGTGATCATGTCGTCACCGTCGGTGTCCACTTCGTAATCCAAGCCAATCAAATGCTTCAGAGAGTTGGGGCCGTTGACCGTCAGGATCAAAATGGTTTCGAAAAATGGTACGATCCCCTTGCTGAGCATATTCTCGATATCCCACACGGTGTTGTTTATCGAATACCGCGACCAGAGGAAAGCTTCTCCAAGGTATACAGCGAGCAGAATTGAATATTCCAGTACAGCATTGTAGATTTTCAAGCGGGCGATCATCAGTTCATAATAAGCATGGAAGAGCGGGCTAAGTTTTACAAAGATTTCGTGCACCTTGCGGCGGACGAATGCCAATACGTCCTCCAGGAGCATCTCAAATGCTTTCGCCGGTGTGTCTGCGTCGCGCTTGTCCGCAGGAAAGATGTTCTTTCTCAGCAGATCGAGGATGTCGTGCAATGTTTTGCCTGGGTTTCTTAGCACCTGCAACACATCGGATTTGACCATTTTTGCTGTCGTGTAGCGCCGCGCTCGGAGTTATCGGCACGCAACGTAAGGATCGCGAGGGCCACGCCTTCTGTCTCCCGCCGAGGTTAAATTTAACCCCATCACGAGCATTTAGGCGACCACGGGGAGCGAGACGCGCGACGAGAGTCAAGAGCGGTGTACTCGCGAAAGGAGGCTGCGCAAGGAGTGGGGTGGTGACGCATGCGCAGAGAGTCCTGCACTGCGCCACGGAGCTGCACGGAACGGCACGTCTACCGGGTGAACATTAGGGTAAGTATGGATATTACTGCGAACGTCCCGAATACTGCGGTATTTTATAAAAGTAATAAAATCTAATCTGATCTTCTAAATATGAATCTCATAATTTTTTATACGTTTAATATTGATAATTTATGGCGTGCAAGTAACAGCAACCGCAATTTTAATTCATTTATTGACTTTTGATATTCGAAAGCTTATGAAAACGTTGAGTCTTATGAAATACTCGTAGCGACAGTTGTGAACGCTGATTCGAAAAGCATTTATATTTTGGTAAATTAATAATAATTTATTCATTTTAGCGTTATTTTTAGATAACGTAAAATTGTTGCTTTGATAAAAAATCAACGTACACGGTTACTGTCATCTAATCTCAAATAATATTTACTAACACAGTATTTGGCGCACAGTTTTGTACTATGTGCGTACATTACTGCGGTTCTTTGCCGAACTGCGTACCTTAACCTATACAGAGCACTTTTTATTTTCTCTGTCAAAGTTCGCTTCATTGAGAAACCGTAGTAATACCTACACTTATTCCATACAATAATTTCTCCCAAATTCGCACTCAGATTGCGCACAAAAATGGACAAATTGAGAAGAGGAGATACGATTATTCGAATCTCGCGTCTCCTCTTCCCAAATTATTCAATTTTGTGCGCAATCTGAGCGCGAATTAGAGAGAAATTACTGTAATTCTGAACTCGATTGGACAGAAGTTCTGCGTCGCGTCGCGATCGCAGTTCAGAATTATAATGCTCACCCGGTAGACGGGTGATGACCAATTTTATCGATCGATTATCGTATCTACCACGATCAAAGTTGAAACTCGAGTCGATTGAGAAGATAAGTAATAGTATTTTGATTCTCACCTGCATCACAGAAATAACAAAATTCTTTCCGATATTTATCAGCACCTTTACAAGTTTTCTAATACACCGCTCGCTTTGCATAAAAATGAGCACTTTATTGCTTACGCCCTCTGTAGCGACACCAGCTGAAAAATTAATTGTTTGGTATTGATATCTCACAGAATGAATAGCGACACATATGGCACCCTCTCTTCTTCTACATATATTATCACATAAATACTATGTCCGTCCGATTATCGATCAGCTAATCTCCATATACAATTATATCGTGAAAACGTGGTTCTTGTTAACATTGTTGTTAACTTTGTTGTTGTTTTTAAATCATTCCAATTATACAAATCTAATTGGCGAAACTAAAAATGCTACAAGTTGGAAATGATGAACAAAAATCCGATACTATTAGGTTAGCCAAATAAATCATTGCATTTTTTCCCATAGGTAGAAACGCAGAAAAATGCAATGATTTATTGGCCAACATAATATTTCCAAACTTGAGAAAACAAGTGTAACATACTCTTCAGTGGGATGAGTTAAATCTATTTGAAAACTTCACGGATCGTTGGAAATTACGATATCTTTACTCGAATCACTTACATCCTTCGTCATTAGCGGAATCATCAGGCAACCAATCATCCAAGCGGCTCTCCAGAAAGCTGAGGCCATCGCTCACACTTTCAGCCGTGGTGTTTGATATAGACTCTATGTTCAGAACAGCCTTAATTTTGTTGGTTGCATACTCCATTGCGCTGTTGTACATCTTAAAGAGACGCGAAATTAGTTCACCACCGAATACTAAATTTCGGGCAACGGTCTGGTTACTGAGAAACGAGTGACCGACGATCTTTCATTTTTATGCAGCACTCTAATTTCCTATAACTCGTGCAAGCGGATCGAAAAGCGCTTCGCAAAAGTTATTTCAATTATTCGAGATCCGAGAACCTTCGCATTGTGGAGACAATCGATGATCGTCTCCACAAATCGCTCGTTTCTCAGCATCCAATGACACACACGCGAAAGGACTTACTTGCCGAGGGGGCAGATGCACCGCCGGCACCTTTTCTTCGACCACGTCGATACCTTTGCAGAGCAAATGGTCGACCACAGTGATTGGACCACTGAAAACGTTGATGGCCGGTGTCGCTATCTCTTTTGCCACCACCAGCGATTGCTCGGCAGTGTCCAAGCCCCAGTTAATCAAAAAGTTCGAACGCTATATCGGATTAGAAAACGGCGCAATTGAGTTTCTCACGGGAACTTGGGCGCCGATGGAATCCTATTATTCATAGCCGACCACGCGAGTGAAAGAAAAACACGAGTCTAGCAATAAATCATCGCAGATAAAACATCCATTGTCAGAGGCTTTACGAACCCGAATCCCCATATTTCAATCGTTTCACGTGTGAACATACGGAAATTTCAAAACAGCAATGGATCGAGAATTATTTGTTGCGCGAGGAAAATTGATTTTCTCAAAAACAAATCGAAAACAACTCGACCAGCATATTGTCGGTTTGCAATGGAAGCTGCTGAAATTGAAGGGGAACCTATCAACGCGGGTATCACTCTAACTCGAAGTGCGACGACAGAAACGAAAGCTTTGCATCTGCGAGCTAATACAATTGGCGCAAGGAGATAAATCTGTNCGAGGGGGCAGATGCACCGCCGGCACCTTTTCTTCGACCACGTCGATACCTTTGCAGAGCAAATGGTCGACCACAGTGATTGGACCACTGAAAACGTTGATGGCCGGTGTCGCTATCTCTTTTGCCACCACCAGCGATTGCTCGGCAGTGTCCAAGCCCCAGTTAATCAAAAAGTTCGAACGCTATATCGGATTAGAAAACGGCGCAATTGAGTTTCTCACGGGAACTTGGGCGCCGATGGAATCCTATTATTCATAGCCGACCACGCGAGTGAAAGAAAAACACGAGTCTAGCAATAAATCATCGCAGATAAAACATCCATTGTCAGAGGCTTTACGAACCCGAATCCCCATATTTCAATCGTTTCACGTGTGAACATACGGAAATTTCAAAACAGCAATGGATCGAGAATTATTTGTTGCGCGAGGAAAATTGATTTTCTCAAAAACAAATCGAAAACAACTCGACCAGCATATTGTCGGTTTGCAATGGAAGCTGCTGAAATTGAAGGGGAACCTATCAACGCGGGTATCACTCTAACTCGAAGTGCGACGACAGAAACGAAAGCTTTGCATCTGCGAGCTAATACAATTGGCGCAAGGAGATAAATCTGTCGCTAACTATTTTCGCGAGCCGTGCGGAGTGGTCCGCTGGAAACGGTCCTCCTCAAAATCTAACTTCCGGTAAACGTTGCGAGAAGATGCGACAACAAGTCTTGCCAGCTTCGGATGTAAAAGCGTTTTGCGAGAGCAGAGATCAGCGAGTGAAAGGTGAGGGAAAGCGACGCTGTATGCGAAAACGTCGCACCGTTCCAACATTACGCACAGATCTTACCTTTATCCTGACGTACACACTGCCGGCAATCTGTATGCCATCTTCTACGATGGGCAGCTTCGATATTCGGCTGATGGACTTAACATGCGGCAAATCCGACTGGCGTGACGCCATCTTCAAAATCCTTACTGCGAAAAATTCAGTTGTACAGTAAAGGTTGCCTGCTTTCGACGAATATTTTCTTTTCTATTCGTTCGAAAGGTGGTATAATTTGACGACTACGATACTGAGTGACCAAATGAATGTAATATGATAGCTATAATACTATGCTATGAAATATACTGGGCGATGAGATGTATTATATTAATTTGACGACTATAATACTCTACTCCGTTTACTATTATGTTAGATACTATACATTTCGTACTTAATATATTAATACAGTTGCAGAGTCAATCATATAAATAATTCAGAAATATAAAACGTGTTTTCGAAAATTTTACTTCATTCTCTAGAATGCCTCATTCATTGTGAATTTCTGAAACGATTCGCGTTCAATTGGCACTTTAATTTCCTTAAATATTCCTTCAGTAGATGATCGGTCACGATTCGTGATATTTGATTTATTATAATCATAGAAATGAATTCTCAAGCGCATTTTGTGCATTAAAGAATTGTACTGGTAAATTTCGATTTAACTATTTTTTTAACTATTAGCTTTTATTTGCTGATTGCGTTAGTTAAAAAGATTTTAATTTGGATAATGATTCGGACGTACGATAACTTGCGTCAATAATAAGATCATTATAGGACTATCTTCCATTATGATGATATTGATGAATGCATTTTCGATTCTAATATGTTGCCAGAAAATTATAAGGTTGCGAATTTTAGCGTTTTGCGACTCGAAAAATTTGAAACACGCTGCAAGTGGACCGATAAAACCGAACCGAGGCAATCAATTAAGAAGATGAATGCGTAAAATTGTAATCTTGACAGGAGAAAGATAAAACTACTTTATTTTGACCGTCTTCACTATATCAGTGTTAAGTGAAACTGAGTTCTCAGAAAATAATTATCGCATCTCTTAGTTTAAAACGTTATGACGTATTAACGGAACTTATAATATTTTTTATACTATCATTACTTCGTTAATATTTGACATGAAAGAGATCACTTGTTCATTTTACAGATAAGACTTTCACAGATATAAAATTTACAAACTAAATTCCTACAGTTTCGTTTCACATTGATACAAAAATTAACTTCTTCACGACACAATCTCCAGCAATAAAATTTGTTCGATTAACACGAAACAGAGTAATCTAAATGGAGCAAATGATATTTCGCATAAAAATTCATTTCAAATTTCAAAAAATCGCTAAGAAAAAGTGCGTAGACAAAAAATGCGTAGCACTATCGTGACCGGTTATCATCGTCGCTCGATATTCAAAGTTTCGATATCATTTCTCCTCGACGCGGCTGAGCCGAGATTCGCGAACAGATAGTTTGATCGAGAGATCATGCTGCACGCGATCGAAAAATCGGCCACGGTGTTCTCAACTTCTTATCTAAGCGAGAGCCAAAGTGCCCGGTCGTCGGTGCGCGAAAATGTCGAGAAACGGAATGGTACCGAAAACGGGTGTCGCATTTTCCCGAGACGGCTGCTTCTCGAAACGAAGCCGAAACGGCCGAGGAAGCTGCGCCGCAGACGATCGCAATTGGCGTTTTTCGAAAAACAGAATTCCTCGGAGCCGGCTCGAGAAGCCGACGAAACACGCGTTGGAATCGCGTCGAAGTCGAAGGCGGCCGCGCGGAGAGACGACGACTTCGCCCACCCGTAGCAAAATTTCTTCTCTCTCCCAGTTTCGCGATCGCTCCAAAATGGAGTCCGCTTACCTGCAGCTCGCGGCACCCTGTCGATCGGCGAACATTTACCTGGACACGTGAACGGTCGTGCGAGCTGGCAAAGGGCTCGAGCACGGTGCAATCGGTCGTCGGCAGCGGAAGGTTCGGTCGGCAGCGGAAGGTTCGGTTGTCAGAAAAGTCGGCGTTTCGCAGGAGAACGGGCAGCGAACAGCAAACCGCGGCTGCGAAGTCGATCTCGTCGGTGTGACCTATGACACGCCGATAGGAGGGCTGCTGCTTTCAGTGTTTGGACGTGGGTTGAAAAATATCTGTAGAAAAATAAAACGGTTCAGGCGTCTTCTTTCCCGTATGAACCATTTTCTAACGCGTTTCCGCACACGGAACTTATGATTAAACTACGTCACCTTGTTCTGGAGAGTCCGAAGATGGTCGCTGTGCCACTTCCAACTGTGTCACTGTTCCTGTTGGAGCAAATCTTCGCAGCTGACTATACTCGTTCGAATTGAAAATAATGGACTGGTTTGTCTTCAGTAGAAGTCGAAGTACGTTGTAAACAAAGTAATCGGCTGAAGATGTTTCACCATTCGCGCCAGGAACTTGTATGGTACTATCGGCGCTTCGTTGCGTATAAATTAATTATTTCAGCAGATATTCGTCGAGCACCTTATCGCTGGTTAGTTTTTTATATATCGCGTTGCGGACTTCCATCGGAGAAAGACTGTGGCGGAAGGCGGTCCATTTTTTTTTCCAACAGCTTGGTCACGCGGTCCGAGCGATAAAAACACTATTCTAACAATCGGTGTTGTTGTTCGTTAGGAACATCACTTTATTTTGCACCCCGACGGCAATAAAATTGTTCTGAAAATTAAAAAATTATGCTCGTTAACCTCCATGTCATATCAAAGTCGTTGGATTTGTTTGAAATTGGGCTAACAGCTGATGACAATAAAGATGAAATCAACATTTGCGGGAAACAACTGTAATCATTTTGACCTTCACGTTAGCCTCCAAGAGATCGATCGTCTTTTTTAGTGAAAAGACATTAAGAAATAGTGTTTCCAAGACATAGTAAACATTTTGAGTATTAAATAGCATGAATTACTGATATGTATAATAATAATAATAATGCAGATTATGTACTTTTAAATAAACTTCATTTAACCATATCTTTTGTAACAATGAACGACCAAGTTAAACCAAGTTAATCTGTAAACTGTAAAGTATCTTAACTTTGTTACTCATATTTTCGGTTTACGACATTAGTGTGTTACTATAATTTATAATTATAAGAAAATGAAATGTGTATGTAAATAAGGAAACTCTTTATTAAGATATCGATTATTACTCTCCAACAGATGGA